GGGAGGTGAGGTGGGGAGGAGGAAGGGAGGGGAGGGAAGGGGAGAGAAAGATGGCTTCTGTGCTTTCTTCAGAAGATGCGAGAATCGAGAAATAGAGCGAAAAAAGTGAGTTACGGAATCTGTAATGAAAAACAGGACTAAACCAAGAAAAATTCGTGTTTTTTGCGGTTTTTTGATGGAAAACAAGAATTACACTAAATCGAACAGCCCAAAACAAAAATACAGGGTCATTTTTTTGCCGGCATCTACGGAAACTTGGTTCGGTACGACCGCGCACTATGCATTCATTTTTGGGTTCAAGTTCGAGCTGCGGTATTGTGACACCGGCTTTTTTTTTTCTTGCTGAGTTTCTTGGTGTCGTGTTCAAGATCGCTAATTTCCACTCAGCATCAAATTTCATGCTCAGCGTAAGAACCCTCTAACCCCTCCCCCCCCCTTCCTCCCGCCTCTTCCATAAATCCCATCTCTGTTTTCGATTCTTACCTCCAAACGAGGTTCTGACTCGTCCTTCCAGTCAGTAGTCCTCCCTCTTCCACCATGACTTCTGAGACCTAAACAACCTCCTACCCCTTCTCTTGCCTCCAGCCCTCTGCACCCCAGTCTTCCCCTTCTGTCCTATCCGAAACCGGCCTCAGTCCGGCCGAATCTTAGCAGTTGCGGTCGTATTTGAGATACACAGAAATTTCCGTATTAAGCGTACAGTATTCGTTTCCATCGTGTTTTCCCGGCCTGTAAATCAAGTCTGATTTTTTGGATGCAGATTACAGCATCAGCGGAAGAATACACAATGGAAATGTGTGCTTCACGTTGTTAAAGTTTGTAAAAAATGTAGATGAATCATATGCCACGTGTATTTTGCAAGTAAAATGTTTCCGCCACAGATTATTGTAAGAAAGATATGTGTATTCGAAAGTGTGTGTTTTTGTGCATAAGAGCAGAAGGGAACAGCTTTACATCGGTGAAATCTGTAAACCCAAGCTGGAAAACCGATGCGATCATGCGTTTCTGCACCAAACCTGAAGTATTTAGGTTAACTGCATGAACAGTTGTTTCTTCACATCTACCTTGTGCGCTCAGTGCGGTAACTCATCGTAAATTTTTGCGTAAAAGGAAATAATTTCTGTCTAGCGGTCATTTTATTTAAAAATTGCTCAGCTACTCAACAAATAACACGAAAACCACGCGTACGCGGGGGCTGAATTTGAAACGTTTAAGTTGTAGTTGAACGGGGGATCTTCTGCTAAAATCTCACCTTTCCAACTTTTCTGGATCCCGAGTTAGCCATTTTCCAAAAAGGTTTCACGGGACCATACGTAAGAACTGCGCGTACCTGGGGGCTGAATTTGTTCAAATCGCACACGGGCTAGGAACTTCCTCTGAAAATTTCAGCCTTCCAGCTTTTCTAGTTCCCGAGTTAGCCATTTTCCCGCCAAAAAATCCCACGGGGCTGTACACGGGAAACATGCACACTTGGGGGCTGATTTTGAAATCGTTGAGTTATACATGGACGGGGAACATAACCTCAGAATTTCAGCTTTCTGTCTTTTCTCGTTCCCGAATTATCAGTTTTCCCACCAAAACATACACCCCTCATGCGCGGGGTACCACTGTTCTGGGGTGGCACTTGGCCGATGAACGTACAAAATCTTGGCGCTGGAGCTTGCTTAGT